TTACTCAAAGTTACTTCGAGTAGCTCGTGGAACAGACCTATTGTATATCATGCTTACATTTTTACTAATAGTAAAAAAATGTCATTAATATGACATTTATTGCACTGCCTGGTTTATCCAACGTACAATGAATTTGTAAATATTCATTTAAATTTATTTAGAACAAATAACGAAAAACATGCTAATATATAAAATATATATATACATAATTATATATAACATATATAATTATAAATATGATATAATATATATATATACATATATATTTAATTATATCTCTGCCCTTTTAAGAAAGTAGAGATATTTTTTTCTTACAAGGTTTTACCATAATTTTTTTATTAAATATTTTTGATAAGTAATTGTACAAAGTAAGGTTGTTTGTTATTAAGAAACTTTTATTAAACAATAAAGGTGAAATTTATATTAGTGATGGAAAACAGCATTTAGACAGCGCATGTAATGAGTAGTACGTAGACCCGCTTTAAAAGAAACAATTGTAAAATCACAATTAGTTTTTTATGGAGATGAAAAGTATGAAGTATATATATAATGCTCATCGGTGAAGTAAACAGATCTATTATCGCCTCAAATAGCGGTGAATTATTCAACCACACAGATGATCATCTTATTATGAAATCTGCTATAACGTGTAAAAAAAAGGATACCAAGTTACAGTTAATCCAGACCTGACAGGCCAAGAGATGTGAAAGAAATACAAATAATTTATTTTAAATTAATTTTAATAAATTAAAATTAACGAATTTATTTAAAGCTTCAATTTTAACGAAGAATGAAATTTAAAATACTAAAAAACAATAGTATAATTGTAAAAAATAACTTGTTAAGCACCGATTTATATTTGGTTCCATTCAAAAAGGGTTTGTTGACTAAAGGTAGAATAGTCATATTGAACACCTGTCATTGAAGAAACGTGTACATAGCATTGATAAACCGATTGTTGATGATTAACAGCATATCCTCCCATATATGGATTGAAATTGAAATTACTTTGCACAGTACTGCGCCGTACAGGAGGAATCATACCCGAACCGTAGCCAAGATTATAGTTGTGGTAAACAGCTGCACTTTGATAGTTTGCAACATTAACAATCTGGTAGCCCACGAGTATTGGTCCATAATTTGGAAGCATGTTATAGATCGGATAAAAGTTACAAGCTAAATGCGAATCGACTACACTAGTGGCTTGAAATGACATATTGAATGAACCATTAGTTTGATTGTTAATGAAAGAATTTTGTGGACGATAAGCTTGCGGTGCCGGCTCAGGATTAGCGTTGAAGCTTGGAACATGATTTAGATCATTGGTATGAATTACAGGTACTTCAGTTACACTTGTATTTGCAGTTACAGTTTGCACTTCAGGTAACGGGATAGAATCAACACTTCTGGTATTTGCAACACATTCATTTTGTTTAATGGTAGGTGAAATATCACATGTCACAATGGTATTTTCTTGCTTAATACCGGTTTCTTCATCCGACTCCTGATAATCGTTTTCATCTATAAAAACATGTAATTTTGTTTTAAAGTTTTTGAGTGGTTACGTCAAAAATATTTTAAAGTCAGTTTTGTTTTTTAAAAAACAAAATCGACTTTATTTATAAAAACTTATTATTTTTCATATAACCATATAAAAAATACGGATGTAACATATAAAAACTATATAGAAGATATACTTTTCACATATAAGGATCCCTAACATAATAATATCTAGATTGATGAAGTTTAAACTATAGATCTCTGTTCTACCTAGCTTATCTTGACTTTCATTGTTTGTTCCAGCGTTCAAGTTAAAAATGTCAGGGTCATCTGCTTCTATACCTGATTTCTGATTACGAACAGAAGCGCCATTTGTAGCAGCAGCCCGTGCTATGATAGCAACGGATTCTAAACCACCAATGTTGTAAGCAAGAGTTGCAAAACCAAGATTGTCCATCAACTTTTTACAAGCAAGTTGTTCATTATGTAAATTGCGTTCACGATCATTTAAAATTACGTAGTCCATATTAGTTGAATCAATACCAGCTGCGCGAAGTTTTGATAGATTAACATTTAATTCCAAACGTTTTTCCTCCAACTTTTTTATGTAATTACTATAATAGGTAAAGTCATAACATTGGGAGAAAACAATGTCATTAAGTTTGGCTTTCTCATGCTTCAGTTATATGAAAAATTTTAACAAAAATTAAAATAAAATTAATTAAGGTACAAAATAGGGATCTTACAAGAGGCATTGATTCTTGACGCACTGATGTTGAATCAGTTGAGCGTGTTTCACCTTTTATTTTTTAAGTTTATTTAAAATTAAATAAGATTCTTAGCCTCTAAAAAAAATTGTCTTACCAACTTTCAATCCTGAATTTATGAAATCCGCCATTTTTTGTAGAATAGTTGCAGATATTTTTATCTAAATATCAAGTAATGAAAACAAAATTATTTTCTTATCTTAAATAAATTAATATAATAATAAATTAATAGTTTTAAAATAGTTTTAAATACTTAACTTCAGTTGGCAGTAACACACTGACACAATTCTTTTGATAAATCAAATTTCAATTATTCAACTAAATATTTTGAAAAATGAATGGTTACTTGCCTTTAATTTATAATTTTCAAAACTTCCGGAAGATGTGATAACTTTTTCAGAGTTGCATTTGGAATGTGTCTTTTTTTATTATTTTTGAAATATCTTTGAATACATTAATAAATTTATTTAAATATATCATCGACATCGAATTTTTATTAAATCTAAATCTTAAAAGCTGATTTTATTGCGTTCAAGTCTAAAAAACAATTGCATGACATTGGAATATCATTTATTGAAATAATTGCCTTTGATTGCAATTAATGGTGCTACTTAAATGGGCTATAAGGCAAACTAAATTTATACCTACATGCTTATCAAGATGAACTCGAAAACGATTTAAGTACGATAATTCAAACTATCTAATATAAATCTATTATAACGTTCATTTTATAAAGTACAATAATAATAGTTTTTAATATTGTTTTTATGTTTTAAAGGCTGAATTAGTTGTACCTTATGGAAACAGCTGACCCATTCCTCTAATACTAACAATTTTTTTGTCTGAAAAAGTGATATACAAAGAATGTATATAAAAAAAATGTGTAACAATGTTCAAATATTGTAAATTACGTTCAAATATAATATTTTTTAACGTAAAAAAACTTTCTACCAGCTGATTCAAACATTGAGAAACGTTGTGAGTTGATTAGTGATTGATTTTAACCTATGTTGTTTTGTTATTATGTGAACTCTCTCATCCCTATATACTGTTACTGCATTCTGTTGTTTACGTTTTCTACTTTCACTACATCTAGACGTACAATTAAGCCTTTAACGAAGAAACATAAAATACCACAACGCAGAAAAAGTGATTAAAAAGAGTTCTTTCAGTGTGCACAGAACACAAACAACATAAAAACACAAAACACACAAATTCAATCCAACTGGCCTATGTCAAACTTGAGTAATGTTTGAGAATTAATTTTGATACATTAATTTAATTTTTGATGCTTGCTACACATGACGAATTCAGCCAAAATTCAATTGGTTATTACGTATACGTAAGGTAGAGCGGACCAGCTGATTTTCTCCAGTACACTAATTAAACACAACTAATCCAACATTAATTCCACAACGAATTCATTATTAAAAATCAATTATTTTTATAAAAATATTTTTGCATACAAAAACCAAGTATGTAATCAAAATCATTTTTATTTTAATTACAATAAGGTATTTTATAAAAGCACACATATATTTTGAGAAAAACGGTTACTTGTTCACAGCTACTACAAAGTAATCGTAAAGAAATGTACACATTTTTACATCACTAATGCATTTGTCATTATAGCTAAAATCAAGTTGTTAGTCAAACATATTTTTTGTTAAAGAAAAGTGAATAGATTTTTTAAGTTAAAATAAAATCTATATATATATATTTCAATTGTTTTAAAGTGTATCCATAGTAAGCAATTGTGTTTTATATCAAGTATAAACAATTAAATAAACCCACCAAAGAAAAAGACTTGGAGCAACAATGGTGAAACTTTTCTCGTTAAGTGTTTTTTACAAGAGTTCATCGGAAGCCCGTCTCCTTAAATCAGCCTTTGATTTGCAGTCATTTTCATTTTTTCAACGTGGTACAGTACAAGAATTTATGACGTAAGTTTATAGTCATATGTGTTCAACATAAAATAATCATAAGAATTTTTGCACAGGTTTGCATCAAAAACGATTGTGGAACGTACACAACCAGCTATGCGCCAATCAGTGAAACAAGAAGCCTATATGTGTCATGTTTATGTACGTTCCGACAATTTAGCTGGTGTATTAATAGCTGATCATGAATATCCACAACGTGTTGCACACACACTCATTACTAAAATATTAGATGAATTTGCTGCAAAAGTGCCATTAGAAAACTGGGAGACTGCTACAGACTCTACAATTGATTTCGGTATATTGCCAACATATTTGGCTAAATATCAGGATCCGAAAGAAGCAGATGGATTAACTAAAATTCAAAATGATTTAGACGAGACTACGATCATACTTAAAAACACAATTCAGGCTGTTTTGGAACGTGGTGAAAAACTAGATGACATGGTTGTTAAATCTGAAAACTTATCACTACAGAGTAAGGCATTTTATAAAACAGCGAAAAAGACAAATTCATGTTGCAGTTTTAGTTAAAATGTTTATTTAAATACGTATTGCGTTTAAGAAAGTAATTTTTTTTTTTGGAAATCTATTACTTAAGTTAGATAATTATATTCGATAAATACTAATTAAAGTAATGAAGTACTATTGCTGTTAAGCAAGGTTATTTGAAATAAATTTTTTTTATTATTTTATAAATTTTATTTAAAGAAATACTAGAATATTGTAAAAAAATATTTCAAATAATTTCTCTACTACCAAAAAAAAGTACGTTATCACATATATAAAAGACTATTAATGGAATCCGCATATTTGGAAAAATAATGGCACATAAAATGTATCACTTTTAGATTAATAACAATATGAATTATTTAATAATATTATATATAATAATTCTCAAATAAACTTTTAGTTGAAAATTTATTTATAATTTCAAAACTTATAATTTCAAATATTTATAACAACATATAGTGAAAAACAATAAAATTATGAAAAATCATTATAAGCAAATGAAAATTGTGGGCACGGTGCTTTAAACGTTAGCATAAATGATCAGATGAGAACAAATTAAGTAAATGCATACAATTTTAAACTGCTAAGCTTGTTTTAGTTTATTAAAAATGTTTGTTATTATATTAACGCTTATAAAAATTAGATATACAATATTTGCATTTGTGTATAATTCTCATATATATGTAAAATGTATAATGTAAAATGCGCAAGTTGCGCTCCATCTAAAAGTAATTATTAAAATATTTTTAGTTATTTTGGATTACAAAATATCGTACGAATTTATTTTACCAACTTGAAAGCTAATTATATATGCAATATATATACATACATTCAAAATTTTTGCTGATTTAATTTCTTTTAGAAAATTTACATAATATAAAATAAAGATTATACATTAAATTAAAAATGATAAAAATGTGTAAGTTGCTACTGTGCTATTGTTATAAAGTAAAAAAATTATACGCCATTTTTTTTATAATAATTGTTAGTAAACTATATAAATGTATTGTGAAACGTTTTGATATATAATAAATTCCATCACATTGTATTATAACTAAAATGTTTTTTCGAATTCATATTATGGATGTTTTTAAATATTTATAATAGTTTGTATTAGTTAATTTTATTTGTAACATAAATATATTTCTTGAAATTTTATATTAATAAATATTATATTATATTTGTATTAAATGTCTGTTGGAAAAATAATTTTGAAAGTATACGTGTATTGTAATAGATAATCGCATTTTCAAATAAAATAAATAAAAACAATTCATGTCGTGAAAAATTATAAAATACTATATCAGAAAATTTCATTTTTTATGTAGTATTTTTAACTAAACAGTTAGGTGAATGTATGCAAATTTTATTTTCAATTACTTAAGGTGTATATGGAAGATGATGTTGGCCATGGCGGATTTCTAATGAAGAATTATGTAAATTATCATATGTACGAGGAACAGAACTTTATGAAAAAAACGCAAAAGTTATAGGTTATACATTACCAGAGATACCAGAGATTCTATAAAAGCCTCAAAGTAGTTATTGTTCAAGAGTGTCATCAAAAACGTGTAGAAGAACGATCTAATCCGAACTTGCCGCCGCACAATTTTTTTTGGAACGATATCAGTCATATAGATTCTAACTGTTGTAGAGTTTTGAAAATCCCTTTGTTTCGCGCGACATTAATTAAATACAGAAAAAGAAAGAGATTAATATATAGTAGAAACAATGATATCTAAAGCGAGGGAAAAACTATAATGTTATTAAAACTTTTGTAAATAAAGTAAATCCCTAACCAAAAAATATATATTCGACCAACTTCATGAAGATTAGAATATAATACTGATTTTTTAGTCTATGTACGAACCAAAGCTATTCCTTTAGTATCACAATGGGCGATTATTTAAGCTTAAGTGGGATTTCTTGGTTGCAAGGCCGCCACTCCAACCTAGCTACCATGTATGTTGAAACAATTTTTAGTTATCACTTTCTAGTAACTTATAAATGACATATTGTTAAAATTAAGACAAAAAAAGAGTAAACGCTTCTTTCGTGTTAAAAAGTTTATGGGGATAAGAAGCAAGAAATTTGGACGAATTTGAATTTTCTAAACTATGATTATTGGCCTCTCAATAGAATGTCAGTGAATCAGCATAAAAAATAATTTATAAAAGAAGTAAATTATAAAAATATATATAAGAAGTATATGGATTAGTATCAGTTATAGATGAAGATAATAATATAAATAATGTTTTAATTTATTCAGATTATTGTTCGAAAACTACTTGGCTTAGGACAATATTGAATGAAACACAGAAAACTTTTAGCCAGTTACGTTTTTCTATTAAAAACAGGTACGAATGGTAAGAATTTGTGCCAATTATTTGTGATAGACTAAATTCAAGATTTATTTTGTAAATTAAGAATATGTCTTCATAATAATAATTATTAGAATATTCTTTATTGTTTGCTTTTCTCTATTTTATAGCGTACCCTATACAGTATTTATAAATATCAATATAAATATTTATATATATATCAATATAAATATTTATTAATATTGATATAAATATTTATATATATATCAATATATATTAGAATAAATATATATAAATTGCCATGGCTAAACTCCTAAATTGTTTCCAAGACATTAACATAATACAACCAACTTTCTGCGTCTTAGGATTACCCATTTATTTATAATAGAGTTAAAAATTATGACTCATTGCTTATTGCTAAAAAAAAATAATAGTAGTCCAAAATTTGAATCCGTTATATTGCATAAACTCAACTGGATGGATCTTGTTTAGTTACAGTAGTAATTGCGAGAAAAATTATCTTAAAATGTTTCATAATTACTAATTAAGTCAGAGAGAAGGATATGTGTCGATTAGCCACTATAATCAACCAACTACAAGTATGGATTCTACTATCACAGTTAGAAAAGTATCAGTGACGCCTTTGAATTTCAACGTGGATTTTTCATTCAGAAATTATTATTTTTGCTTAAAATAAATTAACGCTATTTAGGAAATTTTAGTGATTTTGTCAAATCAAAAAACTTTATATAAAATGCATGAAGTAATTACATTTGCTCTTGGTGTATTTTATCAATCGTACATCTATCTGACGCTCTGGCATCACTAAATAGTGGATTATGGTGTTTTGTTTACATTTTGTTGTTGCAAATTACAAGCGCAATCAGCTGTTCACCCCAACTAATACATTCCAAAAATTGCACTTACAAAATTTACATCAAGTCGCGCTTGTTGCTTCTTGTTTTTTGCATATTTGTTTTAGAAAGTTTTTTGAAATGTTAAAATATTTCCATTTTATGCTTAATACTTAAGTTTTACATATCAAAACGAATCCGGTTCGATTTATAATAAGAAAATAACTTTGTGTATGTATTTTTGCAATTTAATGTTTTTAAACTAAACTAAACTTTTTATTAATAGTGCAAATTAAAAATTATGCTTATTTAAAATATGTAGAAAAAGTATAATTTTTTTATTCAAAACCTCTTAATACTTATACATAATAAAAGTTACTTCAAAGCATTTGTGCAGCTCGAAATGTCGGAATTTGTGGAATATACGGTGCCAATTTGGCGAGGCCTTGATATGCGTCAATTAAAAGTGGATGAAGCTTACATTATCTTAAAATCCTTTTATAATAAAGTGACCTATTTATATACGCTTTCTGATGCTTGTAACACGGTTTGTTTTTAATATTTTCTTAAACATTTCAGTTAATATTTACTTTTTGTTATTTCAGTGCCCTTACACTAAAGAGAAAGCGCTGCAGCCGAATATTCATAATGAAACAAGTTTCGAGCTCAACGCAAATAATGTTTTAAAAATAAACACGGCACACCCGTACAGTTTCAAGTTATTTGAAAAGGACGTGGGACGTTATGCTTTTGATAATGAGTTTGTATAAATCTAAATATTAATGTACAATATTTTTCAAAAACTTTATTTTGTTATGCAGATCAGCGCTTTCTACTTATACTCAGAAGATTATGGAAGAATTTGGTGTGTACAATCTCACCTTTTATGACAATGGTACTAACACTTTTGAAACAGATAAGAAAGGAGTTAATGTGAACTTTTGTAAGTAAACAAAATCTGTAAAACGTATCATTTGTCTTAGTAAAGTACAGAGTTTCCAAGTTGTTGTGACCCGCTGGAACCTGTTTGTGTTGTGTTGTCTTTGTGGGGTGTTGAACGGCACTTGGTCATAGCTGGCGATAAGTCTTCCTTTCTTGGAACCTCACGATCATAGTTTTTTATACAATTCTGTTATGTATACCTAGGCTGATACCACTTTAATAATAGCTACCCACTTGCTATTAAGCATCAATTGTTCTCTTTTACAATTATGGAGTAGAGTCGTGCTCCATCTGAAAGAAGTGCAATATTTTCACTAAAAGAAAATGCCATATTCAATGCCATTTGCTTCTACATATATCTCTGGGTCTAGTGGTTGATTTAATATATATATTAATTGTTATATTCTTATTAAGGAATTTAGTCACGATATAAACGCAATCTGTTTCAAAAATTTTTAGAATATAGTTGTTTATTATATAGTTCCAACTAATCAAATGTTGTTCTTGTTAATGTTATTTAGAGCCAATAATGATCATGATGGTTGATTAAAGTGCTGACAGTTTATAAATTCAATCAGAGCTTTTGCACTGTTTTGCTATCACGTCTTCCATACCAACTGATTATTCGGTCAAGGCAGCACTATTAGATCCAGTCTGTGCGGTGTAAGAACCTATGCAGTTCGTTAATAATAATTACTGTGAGTTCCTCCAAATTCTTGAAGAGTGACTTTAGATAGATTTTCTATGCTTACAGAAATGTAGACATGAACATAAAATGGGAATTATTTAATTTTTCTTCTGTTTGAATAGTAAAATGATCATAATAAATAAAAAATATCTATTTTATTATATTAAAATGTCGCATTATAACAAATAATATTAAAAATTCCATTTATAAATATTTCTAACATTATTATTTATATTGAAACTCTCACATCTATCGTTTCTCGCTTATTTTTCAATAGTTTATTTAAAAATATAAATTTGTTTCATTCATCATAAACCATAAAAGTGATTAAGATTAAATTTAAGTTTTTCTATTATAGCCCTCTTATCTGTTTTTGTTTTGGTTGGCCTAATTCTACTAGTCATCAAGATAGCCAATTGTGCTTGGCGTACATATCGTTATGAGGAAACTGTTAGGGTTGCAGAAAATGCACAATCACAATCTGACGAAGCTACAGTCACAGCACAAAGGAGACGTATGCAAAGTTTAGATGCATTTAGGGGGTGAGTTACTTGTATAACGAATGTATTTTAAATATGAGTTAATAATATCTCAATTTCTTTCTACAGCGTAGCAATTGTCCTCATGATATTTGTAAACAGTGGTGGTGGTGACTATTGGTGGATTGAGCATGCTCCTTGGAATGGTTTACATTTAGCTGATGTAGTATTCCCTTCATTTTTATGGATAATGGGTGTATGCATACCAATATCAGTGAAATCTCAAATGGGTCGAGGTGTTCCAAAACTGAAGATTTGTCTTAAAATAATTGAGGTATTTAAACATAAATAATGAGGCAAACATATTGATTATTTGTTAATTAGTTTTAATTATTTTTATAGCGTTCTCTAAAGTTATTTGCGATAGGACTCTGTTTAAATTCTATTAATGGGCCAAATTTAGAAAAATTACGCGTAATGGGCGTTTTGCAAAGATTTGGTATTGCATATTTAGTTTGTGGAATTGTACATACGATTTTTTGCAAAAGAGATCAAATACTTATGCCACAGGTTGGTGTTCCATAAACTAACATTTAAATTATGCTATTTTATGATATATATTTTTAAATTATTTGATGTTATTATTAACATTCCAATAAATTTAAGGTACCTTGGAAACGTACACTTTACGATTTGATCTTACTACGTGGAGAATTTATTACAATGTTAACTCTGATCGCTATCTATTTAGGCATATCTTTTGGTCTTTATGTACCAAATTGCCCAAGGTAATGAACGGTACAAAATAACCATTTGAGATAAGTAATTCATATTAATTTTCTTTATTAATTCCATACACAGAGGATATTTGGGACCAGGTGGAAAACATGACAATGCAGCTTATGTCACTTGTATAGGTGGGGCTACAGGTTATATAGATTTGCAGATTTTAGGTGATTCACATATTTACCAACATCCAACAGCAAAATATATTTATGATTCACAGGCATTTGATCCAGAAGGTTTATTTGGTAAGTTTCTTTAATCTGCTTTCTTATATTGCAAAACCAGTACTATTTTTTAGGTTGCTTATTAACGGTTGTGCAAGTGCTCTTTGGAGTGTTAGCAGGCGTTATTATATTAGTACATAATGCTTGGTACTCACGTATTAATCGTTGGTTACTTTGGTCGATATGTTTGGCTTTGTTAGGTGGTGCCTTATGTGCTTTTACCAAGGAGGATGGACTCATACCAATTAATAAAAATTTATGGTAAATACTTAAGCTTGCTTTAAATTTTTTTTTTTTAATTTTTTATATGCTTACTTTCAGGTCATTGTCTTTTGTATTCGTCACATCATCACTTGCTTTTGTTATGTTGAGCGTATTTTATTTTGTTATTGATATAAAACATTGGTGGACTGGCTTTCCATTTGTTGAAGCAGGTAAAAATGCTATTATTATGTATGTGGGCCACACGATAATGCATAAAATGTTACCTTGGCATTGGCGTATTGGTGCCATGAATACACATTTTGTTCTCTTGTTGGAGTCAGTTTGGAATACCTTATTGTGGATAGCAATAGCATTATATTTAAACCATAAAAAGTTTTATTACAGTTTGTAAATATGTATAAGTTTTATTATAATTTTTTTTTTTAAATATATTATATAAATTATTATATAAAATATTCATATATAAGTAAATGTTATTAACTATAAATTTTCACAATCTATTTGATTATGTATATATAAAAAAAAATCTCAAAAATTTTTATCTTTCTTCTTTTCAATATTTATATAAAATTTATATGTTATTTTTTTATATTAAACTTTTAAGCGTTATATCAAAAATAAATATATGACCTAATGTTATATGGTTTTTTTGTATTCTGTTTTTCTTATTCTTTTTTAATTTTTTGTTACTTATAACTATCGAATTCATATATTTCATTAGTAATTAAGAGGAATACTTATTGTTACGCTTGGCAAATGTTGCTTAATTAAGTAATTTAATTTAATTATATTGAAGAGATTCATTAGGTTCGTTTTGATTAACTGCTTTAACGATAAAATCGTTGTTTAGTTTTCTAATTCAATTTTTAAAGTTCTTATAGTCTAAGTTTATGCTTATTTATTAAAAAGTGAGAGAAAAAAAATTATATACATTATATATATACCATAAAAAATGATGTAAAAACTATTAATGTTTAGTGTTATACTTATATTAAGTTATTGTGCTTATGCAATGTCTTTAAGAGATTGAGCAATCACAACACATCAATGTATAATACAGACATTTCACCACTTTTTCATCTTCGTCCGGTGGCAATTCTTTTCCCTTTGATTTCGTTGGTACACCGTCGAGTTGATCCCTTTCTTTCTTCTTTTTTTTATTTTTAGTTTTCGGCAGAGTCGCTTGTGTATTGTTAAGTTCCTCCTGCAATTGATTAACCCAATCTAAGTTTTTAATTTTTTCATCTACAGCGTTATCTTCAATGCTTTCGATAGAATTAACATCTTCCTAGAAATAAAAATAAAAAATATGTTTTAGTATATAAAAAAAATGTGTTATATATTTTCTGATAAAGTTATATATTTTGACTATCAGACTCAATATGATGTATATCATTTTCGTTGTATTTCTTTCAAAAAATTTACATACATATAATGTAAAATAAAATTTTAATTGATAGAATTATTAATACGACTCTATTGCTGTTGTAAATATTTTC